GATTGTGTGTATTTTAGAGCACTTAACCTACCTGGGAAGACGCGTACAATATTACCTATAGTTGTACATAAATATGTATGTATGAATGCATTTAGTTCACCCAGTGTGCCGCTACTACTTACATACATATGTATAAATTGCCACTGAGCAAAACTACTTGAGAAAAAAGCATTAGTTTAGTAGCACGAGTGCAACATCGTACACGTAATAGAAGTAAAACTTCTTAAAAAGAGCACATGTGTGCGCCCCACACCCGGTAGAAATCTTAACAAAAATAAACTACGAGACTATCATACGAATATAGTTGTTTATTGTATCCATAGTTGGTACCAAGTTGATAAGTTTTTATCATTTCTATTATTTTTAATTTTTAATTTTTTCGAATACAAAAAAATTTTAAAAATTATGTGTTTCAATGGACACAATGGATTTGAATATATAATTTAAATTTAGATAATATTTTTAGCAATTTATTTGGGAAAAATAAAACATTTAGATTATTGTTTGTATTTTGGTCGATTTTAAATTTGCTACCCCAGAATAATTGATATCAAATAAAACACCTCTTTGAGGTAAAAGTTTCGAGTGACGAAAGCTGAACTAGAAACAAAATTTATGATATCAATTTCGTGACGAAAATTATACGCATTATTTGACTGCCTTTGAAACGTACGGAAAATCTTTTTTTATTTATTCGGAACGTTGCGATTTCTGCTAGAAACACAAAGTAAAAAACAGAACTTACGCAACGATTCGTATGAATTTAAAAGATTTTCCGTACGTTTCAAAGGCAGTCAAAAAATGCGTATAATTTTCGTCACGAAATTGATATCATAAATTTTGTGTTTCTAGTTCAGCTTTCGTCACTCGAAACTTTTGCCTCAAAGAGGTGTTTTATTTGATAATATAGGACCTCGAGTTGAGCTCTGCGGTACACCAGGAACTAGTTTGATTGGTTGTGAGGATTGATTCCCTACTGGAACTCGTTGGAACTGTTCTTTAGATAACTCGTCATAAGTTTCAGAGAATATTCGCTGAATTCAAAATAATGCTTGAGCTTAAGACAAAGGTGGTCGACATTGTCAAAGGCTTTGGAGAAGTCGAGGAGACATACCCCATTAAAAAAATTATATGTGCAATACTTCAACTTCAACTAGTTAAATGAAAAACCTATACTAGATCTTTGATGTTTTTTCCCAATAGCTGTATTCATTTACTTTATCAAAAGAATATAAAAAACTTTATGAATATGCATTCGTTTATAACAAGATAATTTAATTGTACCATTAAGCTGAAATTTTCAAAGAAAAAATGTATACATATATGCAAAGAAAAAAGTGTTAGGTTACCGACTATTTTTCAAAATGTTTTAAAGATAATTTTATTTGTTGGTATTGGATTGTATTTCTATTGCACAATTTTATTTGTTTTACGCTTTGCGGCCTATATTTTACCGAAATTTTGTAGGAAAATTTGTATTATTTCCTCCTATTTGTGAAGTTTGGTTTATTTAAGTTTCAACACGTTATCATTCTGTTTTGAATAAGTAAAAATCTTGTTGGGAAGTAGATCTTACAAATCCCCAGTGGTATTAAAGCCCATATTTGAAGCTAATTACTCTGAAAGGAGGTATTTTGTTCCTTGAATAATGATTTTGTTGTTCGCACGGTGTGAATAACAATATTTTACCGCTGGAATTTCCAAATATCTTCGGTCGAAATGAGCAAAAAATTTGCCAACTTAATGCGCAAAGAATGTTTCTCATTTTTGATATTCATTTTTCCCATAGTGAAAAGATTTTATTTGTTTTCCAA